AACTAACGTGTCTAGAAGTTGTGGAAGCTGTTAGCAATACAACTCCTCGAGACATTAATTAATATGCATGCGCATACAGAAAGATACTTCATGACGTAAAGAAATTCTTCAAGATTCATGGAACGTGGCCATCACTCATATCCAACATGGAGCCAATACATTAGCAGATAGTTTGGCATCTTCAGAAAGTCACAGCTTCACACAAGAGAATATGTCATTCCACCACCTTTTGTTTTAGATGTCTTTTAGAGAGACTTGTCCACACAGGGCTGTTTTTCTTTTGTTATTTTGGTTATACCTTTCCTCAATGTGCCAAAAAAAAAAAAAGAAGAAGAAGAGAACTAACGTGTAGAAAGAGAAACTAAGTTAAAAAGATGTAAAGATGTTGTGCGTGTAAGATGTGGGGGCGATTTTCTTCTTCTTACTATTACCAAAGATACTCTTATTTTTACTAGAGATAAATAGGCATTCCATATCTTAGGGTAGGGAAGGGGCAAACGCTACTCTACTGATGGCTGATGCACGTAATTCTGTCTCTGTATGAAGGAGATGAAAGTTGTTTGATGAGGGTCATCTAACCTTTGGTATCACGTGAGTTGTTTTTGGGAGATAACATGGAGACGGCCGGTGAGGGGAGAGTAAGCTGGTGAAAGTCCAATTTAATAGTAAGTAAAATAACTATTTTATAACTACTCCAATATTTCTCCGGTTGAAGAAAGATAAATACTAACATTGGTATTTTTGATTAATATCTCTAAAAATTAAAGGGATACAAATTTATAATAATATGCTAACAGCTACTAAGGATTACTTATAAGTGTCATTATCCTATCCTAGAAAATATAAAATAACATTAAAATTAATATAATTATATCATAATATTTTAAGATCAACCTATTAAGTCTTTCAGTCATTTAATTTTATTTTTATTGAATCTCTTTAGATCCAATTTTGCATTCCTAACAGTTGGTGTTTTTATTAACAAAGGATTAGATCGAATAATTAGAGTTTAAATCGAATACTAATAAGTAAGTAAAGTTGTTAAAAAAAAAAAGAATTATCATCAAATTAATGTCAATAAAATGAAAGTTGTTGATAAGTAAGTAAAGTTGTCAAAGAAAAAAGAATTATCATCAAATTAATGTCAATAAAATGAAAGTTGTTGTAGATTTTTAAAGAGAATGACAATAATAAAAGTTTGACATTAAATAAAATGTAAAACTTAATATAATACTTTAAGTTTTGAAGTTCTCTCACTTAATAGACTAATTTTGTGAGTTAGACTATTTTCATATGCTTAATTCCTAACCGAATACGAGCAATCGATCAGGGCTACATTTGGGTCATAGTTTTGAGCAATCGATCAGGGCTACATTTGGGTCATAGTTTTGAACAACTCCTCACTTTCTTCTGATATGGGAAATAATGCAACCACAATAGGTACTTTGTGTATGATTAATGCCTTTGAGAATCAGATTTACAGCACCATTGAAAAAGTACCATTCACTATTGGATTGGACTTGGAAATGGCAAATAATTTTATCGTAGCTTTCATTTCTTTTAATTGTTTTGATCGTGTCATTTTATCTTGTTTTATGTTACAAGTCACGATCTTGTGTCTGTCTGCCACATGTATTGTTGCATTCTTTTCCTTACGATCGAGAATTTCATGGTTTTTATTTTGTTTATTTATTTATTTATTTTAAATATACTTTATCTTTTAATTAAAAGTCCATATATAACTTAACTGTTAATTTCCAAAAACACTATAATTAATTAATTAATTATTTTTAAAAATCGGGGTGT